AATTATACATGTTGGTTGGTGTTGGTTGAGTGTTAAAACTTTTTGTTGTAGCTGTTGGATAAGAAATAGGAAACGGTTCTCTTATTTTTCAGATATATAAACACTATGGCACATACCATATCTTACTAGCTTCCTTGATTTCATTTTAATTTGATCACTTAATTACCTAGGTGACATTTATATGACTGCAAGAATGATTTACAGGGAATAAAATGGTTCATTTAATTCCAGTGAAGTAATGTAATGTAATGAATGAATGATTTCTAACAAATAAAACAACTGATTTAACAGTACTAAATCAGTATTTTAGTACATCAAGGCAGAGTTTTGTATAATAATTCTTGATGTTTGTTTTTTTATGAAACAGGAAACAATTCATGTGCCTGCCTTTTTGTTCATACTTTTAGGCTTTTATTGTTTGAAAACAGTATAACAGCACTGTACTCACTAATAAGGCAATATAATCAAAATGGTAATGTAGTGCACACAGGATGTTCTGTCATGTCATCATGTTTCCTATTTAGCATCCCATTCCCTGGTTGAGACTTCCTGTCTATTAGCTTTTTACACATTAGAACTTCCCATTGGGTCAGAATTTTACCTGACAGGGAAGGAGAAAGCTATATACATATTTGGATGCCAGAACAAGGAAAATAGGTTGAAGTTATTAAGAAAAATTTGGCTTCATAGAAGTATGAAATTTTACTAATAAAAGTTATTTTTTTTAAAAGTCCTTTTATCAAAATCTAAGATTAATACTATTGCTACATTCTTCCAAAATACAAAATCTATTCAAGATGCTTTCAATCCAAACACCTTCCATTTCATACATTATTGTTGTCTAGCATTTTATTTATTTTTGTATATAAACACATATTATTATTTTATATAATCATACATGTAGTTATTTATATAGAATTATCCACATATATTTCAGTTTCTTTGCTCAATATTGTTTAGTTTATCTCATCTCTTAGCCCTAGAATATTTCTTTTTCTCCAAGTTGGATCTTTAGATGTTCATCTACTCAGACAGAAGGGTCTACTGAGTGTAAGATTTATCTATCTAACTAATAATGTCCTTATTTTACATTTTCATTAAAAGATATTATATTTCACATATTTCCTCCTATATGAAATTCTGGAATCTTGAGGCACTGAACTGAGCCAAGTAGAAACTTGAAGAACATTATATTACCTTTCTTCCACTAAACTCTTCAACAGTGCCAGCTCTGCATAGCATACTTCTCAGAACTATATTCTGTTCCTATTTATACATCATCACATCTGATCACACTAGTAACAGATAGCACAGGATGTAAACAATAAAAATTGATAACCATTTCCACCCCCCCAAAGTCTCCGTAGTCCACTTAAATATTCCATCACATAAATTAAGTATTGCTTTTAGTTTAATTCTTAACTGCTCTCAGAACTTCTTCCTACTGCAATTGGTGATATCAAGGAAAGGGTTCAGGTTAGCAGACAAGTTTTACCTAGAGTCTTAAGTGAGCAATTCAAGGTTCTAGGTCATCAAGGATACTAATTATTTCTGGAAAATGTCTCCACTATTTTTGCTTCTATGTCTTTTTTTGGCAATAATATGACACATCAGCTTCAGTTAACTATTTAATACCATCTATAATCAAGAAATATCAATAACAATGATTAATATCTTAAAAACTATATACCACTCTAAATAACAATCTATCTATACTTTAGCCTTTATGTCTTGATTACTAATTGGCTCTATATATTCATATATGCAAAGATATAATGCCACCAGTAAGTCAAATATAAAATATTTCATTTGTCTATTGCCTACTTTGATAATTTATAAAATTAGATCTCTGGAAACACAAGCGGTGCATGTAAAGTTAAAATTTATACTGTTGACCAATATCCTATAGGAGAAATTACAATCATAATAAAAATGATGGTAATTAACATGCTCTTCTGTTAAAAGAAAACAAGGGCAGGCATCTGACATACATACTTGAGTGAATATGGCTTATAACATACTTTATATGATGTATATGTAATATAATTTATATTATTGTCCTCTTCCTTTATCATTCAGAATTAAAAAAAAAAACTTTTTGAAGAAGTAAAATATTCAAATCTGTTTTATTTTTCAGGGTTTAATTCAATCACTAATGCTAATTTTTATGTTAAAGCTCTGTAATACATAGTTTTAGAAAATTAAAAAATATATATATATATTGTTTTTTAGACTCACGGATTTCAAACTTTTATGATTATGAATTAGAATAAGAAATGCATATTCGTCTTATAAAAACACAAATATATTCATACAATTGAAAATATTGAAACAAAAGTTCAAAAAACAATATTTAACTGATCTAGAACTTATTCCAATATGTGGCATCCAGTGCCATGACAATCCATTTCTATTCTATTGTATTCTATTCCTTTATATAATCCTGAGAACAACACATTAATTCTATTTTTTAACTTACTAATGGGTCAAAATCAGCCATGTGGAAAACACTACCTGATTAAAATACAGAGGGTACAAAAAAATGTATACATATATTAAGAGATGTTACCTATGCTCAAGCAGTATTTCACCGTAATCAGAAGTATCTGGACGCTGACGGTAACTGCTTTGAGCATCTCTTGTAATTGCAGAAGTCAAAAGAGACTTGTATTTATCTTTGTCTTTTGTTATCGGTATATATTATTACAATTAATATCAATTAATACAGTTTTTTTCCTTTCTTAAAATGTGTATACATTTTTTGGCACCCTCAGTATATATGAATTACATAAAGACATTACTTATTTAGGATGTTATTATATAATGATATGAACACTTCCAATTATCAAGGAAAGAACTCTAAGGCATAGTTAGAATGTGGTAGCTGTTACACAAATCAAGTTCAGCATCTTAAATAATTTCAGATATAGCAGATGCATTAGATCTACTACATAGTTTTAATTCATCTGTGAGCCAGTTGTTTAAGTTCACTGTACTCAGCATTATAAATAATCTTTTAGGCTATTTATACATGCTAAAAATTCATATGTGACATGTGTCCTTTATCCTTTATAAACTGTCTTTTGTTCTGCTATTCTTAGCCTACTCTGCCTCACTCCAAAAAGTGAGGTACAGAACATTTCAGAAAAATGTATGTTTTGTTCTTTTGAAAGATAACGGAAACTAATCTAAAGACTTTACTTAGGCAGTTAGTGCCTCTTTTTAACTAGGACACAATGTTCAAAAATCACAATATAAATGCCAAGTTATTTCAGCAGTACATTTATAGTTTATCCATGCTGAAAGAGTTGGAAGAAGTTAGAGCTTCTAACTTCTAACTTCTCTGATTCATCATTGCGGGTTTTGCCAATATTCACTCACATAGTTCATAGACATACCTATTTCCTTAGAATGATGGAGTTAGTTCTGCATTAACATTTCCACCATTTAAGGCATCATAAAGCATTAGTGAGAGTGATGTCTTACGTGAATATTATTAAAATGGTCAGAACATGACAGCTTATGTACACGAATCACAGGTGCTCAATGATTATTTATCAAATATAAATGGATTCTCATAGGTTTGTCTTTTTTCCAATAAATATAGTTAGAAACTCAATTAAAACTGTATATATCTCCATTGTATTTATTTGCATCACATTTTCTTTGGCAGATTTCCACTATGAGTAGTAAGGGTAGGTATTTTTAAATATTTTTCAACAAATAATGTTAGCATACATTCCAGAACAGCAAATGGCTATATCAATAATAATTGTATTAGTAATACAAAACAAAATAAAAATAAAGTGTCCTTATTTGAATATTTTCTAATTTAAAAATCAAATGTCAAAGTTAAATGTTTGCGCCTTCCTCGTTTGTCATGCTATTACTAAATTTTGTTCATATGTAATCTTAAATAGCTAACTTGTGATTACAGTTTTTGACTTGTGACTTATTGGTCTATTAGAACTTACATGTATAAGTTGTCTTTTTTTGACTATTTATTACCATAACTATAACTAGTTATGTCACATCACACACTTTAAAAAGTAATGTTTTGAAAAAAATTGTGAAATATTCTTTTGACAATACTCTTCTTTTAATGTATTATTTAGCAAGTCAATTTGCTTAAAAATAGACCTCAAATTTAAGAATTAAATTTTCAGTAGAAACTTTAAGATAATAACACAATTAATTTTTAAAGACATATTTTGGTAATTGTGAACCAACATTTTTATCATGGCAGTTTCTAATAAAGATGTTTTGACTTTCCTATCTAGATAGAATTCTTTAGCAATCTATTTATTCCTAATAGTAATATAAGTAGAAGATAGTAAAGTGATGTTTCTATTATGATAAATATGCCCATATTAAAAGTCAGTAATATATATTATTCTGATAGAATGCCTTATTACCTATAGAGAAAATAACTCACTTTCACATGCCCATATTAAATACATTTTACATGAGAGCAAAGTTCTCCAGTTTTAAAAGAAGTTACTTAACCTTTTTAGCTTAAGAACAACTTGCAAAAAGTGCACAAGTCATAGGTCACATAACTTGGTGCATGTCCACAAATTGAATGCATCTATGTAACCAGTCACAGATCAAAAAACAGAAAATTACCACCCCTAAAGTTCCCATCACAGTTTATTTCAGAACCATCCACCTCTTTGCCTCAGCACTCTACCAAGGGTAACCACTATCTCCATTTCTGATGCTGGATAATCATTTTATTCACTTCCTAATATCTTATTTGTCTTCCAATGAAAACTCGTACATTTTTGTTTTATTAAAGTTTATTGGGGTGACAATGGTAAATGGAATCAAATATATGGTGATGGAAGGAGAACTGACTTTGGGTGGTGAACATGCAATATGATTATACAGATGATGTATTACAGAATTGTACACTTGAAACCTATGTAGAAAACTAGTACATTTTAAACCGTGTTTACTCTTGTGCTGACAATGAAATGTTATTATTTTCCATTGAATAGATCCAAAGTGGTACCCTTCCCGAGTTGGCCTGCAGCTAGAACGGGGTAAGAACTAACTTTCACTGATATATTTCCTTAGTTTGGAATCCTTTCTTCTGTCATCAATAGCTAATACTTATATCATTTACTACATGGCAGGGACTGTAATAAATTCTCTAACTATAATATATTATCTCATGTGATACTCCCAACAAACTGGTGCTCCACTTTTATGGATGAAGAATTTCAGTCTCAAAAAGAGATAATTTTCGCCATTCACTGTCAGTGCATATCGGAGGCAGGATCTGAACTAACATTTTCCTATCTCTAAAGCTTTTACCGCTCATTTTTCTGCCTTCTAAAATGCTCTCAGGGATACAGCTTAGCTCTTTCTTTCTGTTTTCTTTTCTTTCTTTCTTTCTTTTTTTTTGTTGTTGTTCTAAAGCAGAATAAGTGAGGTAAGAAGGAGCAGACACAGATGATTTATAAGGAAAAGCATTATATCCTTGTTAAGCCTCAGTTTTCTCAAAATTGCAAACCTTATTCTCCATTCAGAAAATTTTGGATAGATACACTTAAAAATGAGTCCTGCTAAGAATCATTGTTATTAATATGGATCAACTTGAGCTTGAATTTAGACTTGTTAAATAAAGGCTGTGGGTAGAATGTAAATTTTGGAGGACTACTTAGTCAAAGTCTATATTAGTAAATCTACAAGAAACATCTATTAAGGAATTTCAATCACTTACAGTTTCTATACAATAGTAAACTGTATTTATTTCTGGTGTTGTTTTTTTAACATTCAGGTTTTCATTTTTCAAGTAGCATATTCATATGAAGAAACATGATTTCCTTGTATCTAAGATGTGCCAGCTCTCATTGCTATCTTAAACATTCCATCTTTCTCTGAGGACTCTATGTCAAAAAACACAGGAATCCATGGCATTTTTAGAAGTTGCACTTTCTTGATGATCTCAAATTCCTCAAAGTTCAAATGTTGAAGACAAATTCCCATCTGGCTAGAGTTTAAAATAGAAGGATCATTGTCTTGTTTATTTTTGTCTCTGTGTGGCCTAGTATATGCCAGGCACATAAATGCCTTTCAACACATGCATGCTGAAATACCATAAAATGAAATACTGGTATTGTTTTCTGAATTTGTCTCATATAAAGAAGACTTAGAATGCCAGAGCCATCAATGTCAACTGTAATTTCAACTTGAAGGACATTATAATGAACTGGGGAATTTCTGTTAGTTCAACCTTTCTGGTAAATGTGAATTTTCACTTTCCCCTCACATTTATTTACCTGGTTATATATACCAGGGTGTGTGTGAATAAAGTATAGCCAAGTGTCCTTGGGTAGGAATGTGATGATGTATTTGAAAAAAGAGTTAATTAACTTAGCGAGATAAGGAGGGTATGGTGCAAAGAAGATGTTATTTGGAGTAGCTCAGAATTTTAAACCTGACTTTTCTACTTACCTATTTATAGGATCTTCTTTTATAAAGTGGAGGTAATAAAGACCCTAAGTTATTTTTTGTAAATATTAAGTAAGATTATGTTTATAAAATACTATGATTTGCATATGGTAGATGTTTTATCAATCACAGTTACAACTATAAATATAGGTATACTATTAAAGTAAAAAAGACTTAACTCCCAAAACAAAGCAAGGCCTGAATGTTTACATATATTTGCTGCCAGAACATATTTGACAGAATGATTGTACTATGAGCAATGACGTGTGAATTTAGAGTGTTTTACAGTTTCCTCACACAAAAGACATCATTAAAACATAAATAAAATATCAAGCATTGATTTTTATGGGAAAAATAGCAAACATTTATCGAGCTCAATGGTTCTGCTGAGCTGGGCTAGAGTTGGCCGTAGGTGGAAGGCTCACTCTTACACCTGTAGTCAGCTGGTGGGTGGTTGAGGACTGACTGGTCTAGGGTGACCACAATTGCAGCCACTCTTCTCTGTTCTATGTGGTCTCTCCTGCCTCAGCAGAATATTCTGAGCTTGTTCTCATGGTGGAATCAGGGGTGTAAACAAATGAGCACAAGCACTCAAGAATTCCTGAGGCCCAGATTTCAAACTGGCATTTGATCCCTTGGCTTGCGTTCTGTTTGCCAAAGTAAGTCACTAGGCTAGCCTATAGGGTGGGGAATTGACACCAAATCTTAATAGGAGGAACTAAAAGTCATACTGTAAATCATATGTATACGGTAATTGTGAAAAATTGTAGCCATTATTGCTCTAAATCTGTCATAGGAACTGGTAACTATAATGTGTTCTCTCTTCCTACATTAATCACCAGGACTTCATAATGTCTTGCAAGTACAGGGTTGAATTTCTAATTCTTAGTTGGATTTCTATAATAGAAAGGTGAAACATGGGTAGAGTTGGCCCTTCTCTTCCCATCAGGCTCCAAACATCCATACCCTTTGTACAAGAGCCTTGACAGACTCCTAAGTATAGAGATATACACCTTAGTGTCGGTCCCACTCTTGGGAGGAAATGTCCAAGAAAGATGTATTGCGTGAGTAAATTTAGGCAGGAAATTCAGGGGCTTTAAGTGGCCGAAACACAACACAGGAAGAGATGGCTAGGGCTCCCTTTAGGCAGGCTCTCTTGGTCCTACATGTTCTTTTCCATTTGGAAAAAGACATAGGCATGGAAGGTCAAGGGCAGAGGGCCCTGATAGCTGAGTCTAAGAGTGGAATGGTTAATGATATATCTGGATTCTGTCAGGTTGTTTTTTCCAAATGTTATATTGATGGGACAAAATTTAAAAACAGAATGCCAATTCTCTGTTCCTTGAAGTCAGCAGGGTTTTCGAAGAGTAGAAACTAATCCCCTCCTCAAAGGTGTCAAAAGGTGCATGGTAGAAGGATGTTTTCAGCATACTTTCAAGGGGTACAAAGCCATCAGAATTATTTGTCCTTACTAACATTTCATGTTGTTATACATGGTTGTCACATTGACATTACTGACCATTTGGGTATCAAATTCTTTACCTTGATCCACATTGCATTAGCTTCCTATTGCTGTGTAACAAATTACCACAAATTTGGCAGCTTAAAATAACACTTATTTATTAGCTTGAAGATACAATATGACTGAATCTGCTGCTCAGTAATCTCTGCTGTATATTTCTCTTACTACTTCAAAATCCCAGAGCACTAGAAAGCTCAATCTCAGTTTTTCTTGCCTTCTTTTTAAACGGAATACATAAATAATCTCATCAAGCCCTATGGTTTTAAGTGTTAATAACTTTCAAATGTCTATAGATACATTCACCCAACTGCCTACTTGGCAGCTCCCACTTGAATGTTTGATAGATAGCACACACTTAGCATACCCTAATAGAAATCTTAATTTCCACCTGCAAATCCTGATCTTTTCTCGGTCTTCTTCATTTAAGTTAATGAGGTCACAATGGACCTAACTGTTTAGGCCAGAAATCTAGGACCAATCTGCTGTATATCGCACTGAATCCTCTCCTCTTAAGCTGAAGCTGCTCTATGTTAAAATATGTCTGAGTTGATGCATTTTTAATGTTTCTACCACTGCTACCTTAATCCAAACAAACATCATCCTCTACTTTATGAATTTAGAGGTACTCCTAAATAATTTCCTTCATTCCTTTCTTCCCATTTGCCATAAGTATCCATAGTGATCTTTAAAAAACAAAAAACAAAACAAACAAAAATTTGTTTTATTTCTTCTAGTGAGGCAAATATATTTATATTTTTTTTACGGTCTATTCCATGAAAGGCTTTGTCTCTAGCACAAGAAGGTGAGAAGGTGAAGCCTCTTTATTTGGAAGGTGGGTTAAAGGAGCCAGAGTCCAGGCTACTTTTTCTTCCCTTCTGATTCCCAGAGTGATCCACAAGGCATCCTGGTGGGGAACCTGGGGCAAGGTGGGAAAGGCTGGTGGGTGGTTTCCAGGGTCATTTTTAGTGATGACGCTCTGAATCTATGAGTCAGTTCAATGGTATCAGCCAAGCATAATGCCATAAGAATGTCTACATTAATTAAGATCTTATGGAAGGTCAATCATGTATTACTTTTTATCCAGATGGTGTTTTCAGAGGGACAGAATAAGGGAAGGAGTTGTTCATCTGGGCATGTCTAAATTTCTCCTTATTTTTGGAGGATGGTTTTCCTGGATATAGAATTATTTTCTTTTAGCACCTTGATTATGTCATCCCACTACCTTCTGGTCACCATGGCTTCTAATGACAAATCAGCCTGTTATTCGTATTGAAGGATCCTTTGTACATGATCATTTCTTACCTTTTGCTGCTTTTAAGTCTGTCTGTCTTTAACTTTTGACAGTTTAGTTGTTTTGTGTCTGAGTTTGTATTTCTGAGTTTATCCTTCTTGGAGTTTATTGAACTTCTTAGATACACTTTTAAGACATTATTTTTTCAAGTGTATCCAATGTCTGGGATTTCTCAAGGATAGTCTTTGTTGAATACTCTTTCTTGAGCATAGTTTATGATGAGACAAGTAAAGAGTTAACAGGAGTGGGCTTGTGAGCTGACAGGATGAGATAGGCAAAGAGTTAACCAGAGCGAGCTTGAACATTAACCACTTGGCTCTGAATCCCCTGGCTAGCACTGCACCTACAAGCTGACAAGCACCTAACATCCATCATAGATGGGAACAGAACAGTTCCCAATCACAACAGCAACTCCCTGCAAGCTGACATCCATCATAGAGAGAGGAGATAACTTTAATGGCAGCCCCTCTGCAAGCTGACAAGCACCCTACACCCTGCTTAGAGAAATATAAAACCCCAGCACTCCTTCTCATCGGTGCAGTTGTCCCTTATAGGACTCTGCCCTGGCACAACTCCTACCTGTATCTCTCTCTTACCCCTCTGTCTCTGCAGCTGTCCCTATCGGGCTCTGTATTGGCAAAATTTCCTTTTGTCAGAAGTATCTCTCTTTGACTTTCAATAAATCCTTGCTTACTTTTGTAGAGTCTCGTAAATTCTTCTTACATTCTGCGAATGACCAGGGGCTAATTCTACACCGAGACAGTATACAGGCTATAGTAAAAGCTTAAATGGGAATCTGAGGAATAAGAAGTCCAAAGGGGACTCTGAAAAGTACTGACATATTGCATAGACACTAGAAACTCATGCATATGTACATGCTCAGGGATATGCAAAACTATACAAGAAACACAGGGAAGGCCCTAAGTTCTTATCTCTGAGTAGCTTTGATTTTTAGCAGAAGCAGGAGAAGCAGAAGGCTAAGTCAGGGTTGTTAACTGCTGGCAGAGCATTAAAGGTGTGCTCCAACATGTACACAGAGCTCTTAGTAATGACTGAAGACTTGTGGGTTCTAAGAATTTAAGGAAATCTCTATCCAATCATTAGCTAATAACCAATTAACTAGGAAGAGATTTTAGTGGCTACACAACAAAAAATTAACTCAGAAAAGTCATTAAAGAAACAACAATAAACCATGAGTAGGGAGGGGAATCTGATTTCCAGAGTTGCCACATTCAAAGTAGCCAATTTAAAAGAAAATAGAAAAAAAAAAAAAAGCATGAGACAAACAGAGATACATAGTGGTCTTTTGAAAAGGTGAATCATGCCTTTGCCCTGGTGGTTTGCAATGAAAGCATTTTACCCCAATTAATTTATCCTATAATAAAATCATTTAGAAAACAGTTGAAATATAAGTCTACTGACATCCAAAATTATACTTTAAAGAGAGTAAAAATCATATTATCATATCAATAGATGCAGAAAAAGCATTAGACAAGATACAACATCCATTTATGATTAAAATGCTTAATAAAATGGGTATAGAAGGAAAGTACCTCAACATAATAAAGGAACTATAAGACAACCTCAGCAGTATGGAGGTTCTGCAAAAATTAAGGCTAGAATTACCATACAACCCAGCAAACCCTCTTCTGAGTATGTACCAAAAAATCTGAAAATGTTTATCAGTAAAAATACATGTACCCCTATGTTCACTGAAGCATTATTCACAGTAACCAATACATGGAAACAACTGGTGTCCTTTGATAGATGATTGGATAAAGAAAATGTGGTACATATATACAATGGAATATTACTCGACCATAAGAAAAGGTGAAATACTGCCATTTGCAACAACATGGATGGATCTTGAGATTCTCATGCTAAGTGAAATATGTCAGACAGAAATAGTCAAGAACTATATGACTTTACTCATATGTGGGATATAAAACTGAAATCAACAAACAAACAAGACAAACAAAAACTCATAGACACAACAGTTTAGTGGTTACCGGGGGTAAGGGGGGATTGGTATAACAGGGTAAAGGGAGTCAAATATACGGTGATAGAAGAACTGACTCTGGGTGTTGAATAAACAATGCAATATATAGATGATGGTATTATAAAATTGTACATTTGAAACCTATATAATTTTACTAACCAATGTTACCCCCAAAAAATTTTAATAAAAAGAAAAAATTTTAAACCAGGTTTAACCCAAAAAAAAGTACTTTGTATTGTATTTGATTATGATTGTCTAGTATTACATTTTCTTAGAAAACAATAGGATAGTAGCTAGTAGTAATCTGTACTTTAGATATTATTTTGAAACTATTATGTATATGAAAATTTGCTAGACATTTTATAAAATTGATTTATTCACAATTCATTTTGCTTTAAAGTTATATTTTATGTGCAATTTCTATGTGAAATTTATCTTTAGCTTTCACTGGTTTCTTATTAAAAATTATTTATCATTATGTCTTGAAACTGTATTAAAATAATATTTCTTTATGATTTAAGGTGGGCCTTTTTTGAAGGACTACATAACCATTCAAAGTGTTGCATCTTCCTCCATTGTCACACTCTATTTTACAGACCTAGGTCAACAGGTCAGTTGGACTGCAGTAAGTATCAATTTCAAGTGCAACATATATGTCCCACATTTTGATGTGAATAATTTGTTGACAGAGAGGACAAATTCGGTCAAATAAATTCAAAGTGAAATAAATATTGTACTGAATGGTATTTTAAGTTTTACATTCTTACTATGATCAGTGGCCAAAATTTCATTCAAGAATTGTATCAATGGAAATACACAGTTGAAAGAAGGAAGATATATGTGTTTTTT